AAGATTCAACAATAGCAGAATGCCTATTCTGTGCAAGCCTGCATGAGACATTCTCCATGATAAACCATATTCTTGGATATAAATTTATACGTTCAGATGTATATTCATATATAGACATGAATTTTCATATAACCTTAACAAATTTAAAATCCCCCCACCTATACAGCGGTCGCCGCGGGTGCTCCCACAGCGGAGCGGAGATTACAGAGCCGTCGGGATGCCCCAGCTCTCCGGGGGAGGTGGCGGCGGCGGGGGGGACCCGGAACTCTGCGCCACGGACGAGATGATCCCCTTCAAGGACGAAGGCGATCCTCAGAAAGAGAAGATCTTCGCCGAGATCAGCCACCCCGAAGAGGAAGGCGACTTGGCCGACATCAAGTCCTCCTTGGTTAACGAGTCTGAGATCATACCGGCCGGCAACGGACACGAGGTGAGCGGGCCGCCGCCCCGAGCCCGAGAGGCGTGGCGGGTCCCGGGAGCGCAGAAGGGAGCTGGGGAGCGAAGGCGCCCGGCCGCCTTGGCCCAAGGAGGTCCCTTGTCGGTTCTGGATGTGTGTGTGGCTGGGCCCCAGGCCCCCGTTCCCCGTGTGTGTAGGATGGGAGGTGGGAGGGTTGCAGGGAAACTTATTCCAAGTGGAACCGTTTAGGGGTTCGATGGCTAAACGGCTGGTTTGCAGGCAGGAAAAGCTGCCCTTAACCCATAACGTTTCGCCTCCCAACGTTTTGGTGGGGCCGAGCGGTGAGGTGCATTCACGCGAGCAGGTCTCAGCAGCACTACTGAGAACTCCTTCCGTAGCACGGAAGAGACAGTGCACCCGCTGTCTTTCTTGGTAGTTGTCTCTGCAAACGTGCGTTAAACCACCAAAGGCTTAGGTGGAGACGAGCAGAGTCAGAGGCGGGAGGAAGGGGAGGCGGGCGTGGGCCAGGCGCAGGCGGGGCCGTCCCAACCGCCGCGGAGCCGGCCGGTCGAGGGGGCGCGCGCTCGGGGCTGCGGAGGCGGCGCAGGGCTCGCTCGGTCCCTGCGGTCGGCGAGGCCCCCGCGCCCGGGCCCGCCGCCGGGAGCCGTGGGCGCGCGGAGCCGAGCCAGTCCACGGGCACACCCCGGCTGTGCCGCCCGCAACTCCAGTTTCCTCCAGCCTCATCGCTTAAAGAAAATCAGGCCTTAAATCTAGGCAGAAGAAAGGCGACTCGGAGTGGAGAAGCGGCGGAAGCCGGGCACCAGCCAGGAAGGGTGGAAAGCGCTTTATCTGATCTTCTGGCCCGCGGCTGGCGATAGCGCCGGTAACCTGAGTAGAGTAAATACAGACACGTGGGTGCCGGCGAGAGAAAGCCCGGAGCCGCGCCGCGCGGGAGGGCTGTTCCAGGCCGCTCCGGGAGCCCGGGGGGCGGGGGCGGATGGACCCTGATATCCGACACCCCACGGGTCACCCTTGTTCAACAACTGGGAAACCCTCTGGAGGAAATCCGGTGGAAAAGTCCTGACACCCAGACGATTTTACTAACGCCTTTTCCCTCCAAAGAAACTTGGAGAGTATACCCCTTTTTTTCTTCCTTAAATGGCATCTTTCTGCCCCCAAAAAGAAAGCATGTGGTTTTGGGGGCGGGGACATTTTGGGTTTTAAACCACGCGTTTAAGAATACCTCAGACTTACCTTCTCCATCCCAATGGCAGGGGTGAGTATGCATTTTGAAAGGCTAGGGGCCTGCATTTGGAGAACATAGGGTGTTCTTTATCCGCGGAATCCAGTTTGAGAGGGATGTGGGGAGGCCTAGGGTATACCCCACTCCATGTAAAAGATTTGTGACTCTGTGTGTGCTGAGGAGAGAAGGTGGTCACTGAGAGGGCACAGGTCCATCCAAGACACTCAGGCTTTTTGCCAGACTCTCATATTTGTAGAGCAGCCTCTTTTCCTTTCTACCCATCTTGCTTGTCCTTGCTTAGACCATAAATCATGTTGACACCCACTTCACATTTTCTGCACTTTTCTGGTCTGGGTGAAGGACGCCGAGTTTGACTTCGAGAACTCAGGTATTAGGGCCCTGTAACTCTTCGTATAGGTGGTGAGAGGGCAGGGGCAGAAAGATGGTGAAGGATAATACCACTGATTTGCACGTGGTTGAGTCTGGGTGGATGGTGGTTACCAAAACTGATATGAACTGGGCTACCTTTTAGACGGCTATAACCCAGCTCGCAAAATTTCCTCCCTTTAACCACAGAACAACAGTTTTACTTTTCTAAGCCTGTACCCCGCCGCCGCCGGCTGCCACAGGTTGTAAATCCCAGTGGAGATGCTGCTGGGACTGTGCTCAGGGCAATTGCCTGAAGACCTCATCTGAGTGGTTGGCCTGTTTATGTTTAAAATGTCATTTTCAGTTGCAAAAGGATATTCCAGCCTGTTTTTAATCAGAGCTGATTGAAGTGAACAGTGGCTGAAGAGGCTGTCCAAAGGATCAACCCCATTAACTCCTACTCCTGTCATATCAGGCGTCCAAGTAGCCTTGATATGGTTCAACAAACAACAGCCAGAGCAGCATGGGGATCATTCCCAAATTTACTATATTTTTATTGCTTTTGTTATTGTTATACTTTTTTGGTCCCGACTAGATAAAAATCCCTTAAAAATACATGTTGAAAAGAAAAAAATTTCCCAGTACTCAACCTTAGTTTCTCCCTCTTAGAGTAATAAAACAAAGTTGCACTTAAACCTGTATCTTTGAGTTACCAGTGGAGACTCGCTTGTATGATTCTTGTCACAAACTCTAAGGTGATTTTCTTTCTTTTGGTGGTGGGGATTCATGATGTTAGGTGGCCAGACAAGCACAAACCTCTCAGGAGTCCTACCACGACAAGGCCAGAGAACACCCTGATGATGGTAAGACGCTTATTCTACTTCTCCCAATTGATGGTATATAATGTGTGCGATTTGTATGTATAGGTATGTCTTGTAGCTTTTGCGTTTAAGAAACCAGGACCATATGTGATAAGATCATACCTATTATTTCAATAAAATAGGAACGACAACCTAGGAAACGTATGACTTATCTCTAATGTAGATTATGTAATTCAAAAACTGTCTTTGAATGAGCTGGGGACTTTTGGATTTCAGTTGGCCTCCTGATTCTTTGGAAAAGAGGGAATGTCTGTAATGAGATTCTTTTTCCTCATTTTACCTTAAGTTCTCATTAGCTTAGGTGTTTAGTATTTTTTACACGCATTAATATGAAGAATGCCAGTGTATATCAATATATTTTTTCAATAAGAATAGTTTTGAGTGGATTTTCACATGCAAAAGTGCTGTTTCTTGTTTCTTATTAAAGTGAGAAGACAGGCAGTGAGTGAACAGAGCAGAATCCAGCTTATAAAGATATAAAACTTATAATTAGCAGCTATGCATATTGAACATGATAGACTTTATCCCCATTTCTGATTCTTGCTAAAAACTTTTAAAATTACATATATATCATTTTATTGTTTATTTATATTAAATTTAATATATGTATACACACATATGTATATTTAAGGAGAACTTCTTTTGACTTTAAAAGAATCAGGCAACTCATAAGGTTTCCTTGTCAACCAATCTGCATTTATGTTCTCCTTTAATTACTTAATAATTTGCCTGACCAGAATGAAGATTTCCTACATAACAATATGTCCACCAGGAGATGAAGGGAAAAGAACTATCAACTTCTCAGCTATAAAATGGCTATACAGGTTAAAGAAAAGCAATATATATGCTGAACACAAATTTCTTTGTAGCACTTAAAATTAAGTCTCCCAGAGTTAATTTCTTATAAGTTGCCTATATACTATATACACTTTATCCCTCAGTAAAATCTGGGAATTTTCTAGAAGCACAGGTAGAATTTTTAAGTTTGCCTAAAAGGCAAAGCATAACTTCAAGTGTATAAATGTATATATGCATATAGATAAATGGCCTAATATATTTGTCATACAGCTTTAGGTTTGTGTGTGTTCCTTCACCTATTTTTTAGTCCTGTTTGTTAGTATTAGAACAAATGAAGTTAGATGGATAACACTACACAATAAAAACGTCAGTAGTGGAAGTACTGTTTGAACCACATGTTTTTAAGACATCTGGTTTGCTAAGCCATTTAATAGAACAAATACTGTCAATCTAAAATAGAGCATAATAATCCAGTTACAGTATTTTGTAAACAAGTCTTGTATGTAAGGCCCAGTTGACCTTAGAACTTAGATTTTCGGATGAAAAATACAGTGATACAAAAGGAAGTCAATGCATCACTGACTGCTCTTTGGATTCTTCCAGGAAAGCATCCAGATGGAGGCCTCTACAACAAGGGGCCCTCCTATTCCAGTTATTCTGGGTACATAATGATGCCAAATATGAATAACGACCCGTACATGTCAAATGGATCTCTTTCTCCACCCATCCCAAGAACAGTGAGTAACATGCTGATGCTGTAAATTATTTTCAGAAGTGCAAATTAATTTGTATTTTGGCAGAATGTTTATTTTTTCAAACTCGTTGGAAATGCTTTTATTACACACAGCCAGTCATTGCTAAGTATGAGATGCTCTGAGGAATGGCTACCTTAAAATGTTGCTACTTTATCTTACCCTTGGAATTTTAGCTTTTAGCTTATTCATTAAAATTAGTGAATCATGAATTATAATGTCAAATGAAGTTAAATCAACAAATCTATGATTTTATGAGTGTTAAGCTTTCCATGCTGATAAGAGGGGGGAGTTGCTTTATCTTTCAGTTAACTGAGAATTACCTAGCTTTCAATCCCACAGACTTTCTTGAATCAGAACTGCTTTAACTCATTTGGAGCTGAATATTAATTATGTTATTTGGCTTAGAAAACAGTGTCTCATGCTATATCAGGTAATACTTCTTTAAGATCAGGTGGGGATTGAGCTATTTTTACTTTACCAATTGTTGAAAAATACCACTTAAATATAACCCTCATGAAAGTTGTTCCTTTTTTTAATCTCATGGTTCAATTAATGTCCAAAGTTCTAAAACTGCAGTGGAATTATATTTGCATTATTCAAATGTATAACATTATGAAGAATATCAGGTTTGTTTTGTGATTATATTTCTCTTTTCTTGGAAAGCGGATGCCTTGTTTATCTGGTGAGAAAATATCTTAGTGGTGACTTGTGTGCTTGTGAATATGAAACATGCTGGTGATGAAGTTTTTGAGAATCATCCCTCTAGCACTGGTGATAGATTTTTACTGATCCATCAAGATACTTACCTTCTATGCAGCCCCACTCTCCCTCCACCATTCAGCTTCCAATGAAAAACAATATGTATGGATCTTAAGTCTCACTGACCCTCTTGGTGGTCAAATCTGGATCGTAAAATGGAACCTATGGTGTTTGACTTCTTTGCCCAGTGCTTCTTTCTATTCACTGAAAAAACAAGTTGCAAATATCTGGGGAAAATAGTGTTGTTAACACCTTAGTAAACAGATCTGAGAGTGAGAAGATTCACCCGGGAAGCAGAGAATAATAGCTCAGAATTCCACAGTTATCAACAGGAGTATTGTGGTTATCATGATTATTCATTGTCCTCAGTTGTTGAAATGATAAGTATGTGAAATATAATCACTTTGTGTGGGCACTGTGATTTGGATGTTAGTGTAATTATTTCCCCACACATTTCAAAAGGATATTTAGCCTCTCAGGGAATAAGATTTTTTTAATTTTCTTTCTTTTTTGAGTTGGAGTCTAATTTTCAAATAACGTTTAAAATGGAGGTCTTGGGGATCTAATTTTAGCGATCGTGTGATGGTTGCTATAGGAAGTAGCTATTTCATATTTTGTTTTAAAAGGCTTTTCAAATATTTAATGATAGTGGTATCTGTGTTATTTATTAGTCTACCACATAAAACATGAATTAATTAATAAAAGCAAATATGGTTTAATATTTAGAGACCACCTCAAATGCTTGAGTTTTCAAAATTGTGGGAGACTTTATATATCAAATATGTCAGATGTTTTGTCTTTTTTTGGAGGGAGAGGGGAAGGAGAATATGTTTTAGATAAGGCATATTTGAAGATTTCTATTGAAAGATGTTTTTAGAACAACGAATAGTCTTACCTTGGTAGCAATAGAAAGTACCCATTAAAAAAGTCTTATACTTTTCAGCTATGCACAGAGGTGAAAGGAATAAATTTGAATTTATTCCTTAAAGAGATCAACTACTTCTCATTTCAAAACAATACTTTTTAAAAAGTCAGTATAATAAAAATTTATTGATATTGTATAAACAATCACTAAGAAGAAAATTAAACTTCTCTTCCTCTTTAAGTCAGCATTCTGCCTCATGTCTCCATGATCTTTTCTCCTGATCATCTAGTATACTACTCATTTTGAAATTTTGATAGAATGGAAGGTATTTATTGTTAGTGTATGTATTACAATTTTGAGGTTGGTGAATCAAACAGTCATTCATTGTTTAGGAAAGATTTGTGGCCAGAATACATGTTGGTGGGTGTAGAGTGGAGGAAAGAAAGGGGTGTGGTCAGGAAACAGTTACCGTACCCTGTTATCTGCTGCTTTGCTTTATTCCTTTACATATTTTTTCTGTTTCAGTACATAGAATGTATTTATTTTAGGCACATTTTCTTGAGATATTCTGCAGTTTACACAATTCCAGAAGTTTTTCAGTTATAACCACAAGAGTATGTCAGAATTTTTTTAGCGTCCGACTGAAGTAAGTTATCTTTGGTTTTTAATACCTAACAACTATTTTTAATGTCTGAGATCAAAAACACTTTAACCGGAAGGCAGCCTCTCTTCTTCACTCCTAACCACACTTCTGCTTTCTTGCTCTTTAACTCTGTCCTTAGCAGGACGGAGTATTTGTACCATTGACATTCACAGTGATAGATGTTCATTCTGGGTGTGAGGAGCAGGGTGACCATTTGTGTTTGGGCTTAGGATGGGAATATCCCATGGCATCCCTGTTGCTTGAATTTGCATTACAAACAATTGCTTGTTTACTGCATCTGCTGCCCAACTTGTTAGGACTGGAAAAACATTTGGGGGTGGGGGAGGGAGGTAACCACCCCTTCCCTACATAGTCTTCTCTTTGTATGTAACTGCAGGTAATCCAGAGAATACCAACTATGGCCAGCTGGCATGCACAGAAATGTTTCTGCAGGCATCTCATTTTACTAGTCTATACGCTTTTGCTTTTGCCCCTTAATACAAACACTGGCATACATGTGCTGGCACAGCTTTTGCCTACACAATACTGTACATAAATATAGTATTACCTATTCAGCTTTTTTCTTTCTGAAGGGGAATTTTAATTGGCAAATTACATCCTTCTGGAACTGGAATTCTTAGGAGTGTGAATGTCTCTACCAAAAATCGTATGAATGGGCCTCTCACAGAATTTTAAATAAGAATTCTTAGTTCAGATAAATTGGGCCTGAAAAGAAAGCAACTATCATAGCATATCTGATGTCAGTGTGAATTCTTAGGGCATAGCAAACCTTGACTTGAGTTGGTGTTCTTCACAGAGAGTGAGAAGATGCAAAAGCCTGTTCAATATTTTAGAGCAAGGACCCTGGAGAGTTTATTAAAACATACTCCAAAACCTTTCTTTCTCTGAATCTTATTTTTGAAAATCCCTGTAGGCCAATGGTAAAGTATTAAAAGAAAAATATAGTTCTTTACAGTCCTGGTTTGATTCTGGTAGTTATGTGCTTGAGCACCATGTGAACAGCAAGCTTGGCTGGTGTTAACATAATGAAAGTTCCCTTTGGCCTAATGCACTGTGATTATTCATCTTTGGTGTCAATCTTCCATTTGTCCCCTAAGCTACCCAAATGTTTAACACCTCAGAAGAGAACATCTCAGTTATCTTCAGATGCTTGGGGAGGGAAAGGCAGCACAGTGCAGGAAGCTGCAGCAAACTTTGCAGCTCAGTCACACCAAACCACAATAACACCTGGTCACTGAAGTGCTGCAAACTTCATTGTTTTTGGTTCTTGGTGATCTTTCTTACAGTGACTTTTTTGGTAGGAAAGGAATATATTGTGCTGTCATTTCAGATGTCCTTTAAAATTTTTATTTGTTTATATTTTAAAGTAGAAAACGCTGTGGAAATGTTTCGGATGTTATTTTCAAATTATTTTGAAGAGCTTCGTTTTATTGTATGATTTTTACCTTAAGGGGATCCACATTTTTATTTCTAATTAACAGGATTATATCTATTATAACTTTGTCTTACTGCCTCTCCCAATATTTGTATTTGCTTATAAACAGCTAAAATTTGATTTTGTCGTTGTTCACATCTGGAATTAAGGAACTGAGGTGGACTGATCTATTCAGTAAGCTTCTAAATACCACTGTACATCACATTGTTTCATGACTTTGAAAATAATTACAGTAATAATAATTTAAGGATAGAGGGAGACTATGGCTTATATTTCACACAAGATGTTTATTTAATTCAGTGTCTTTTCATTTTATTTCAAAGAGCTACTTAGTTTGACTTACTGATAAATTGCTTTCAATTTTTTAGTTAAGTTGTTTGCTTTTTGAAGTTAAGTATATTGAGTCTTCCCCTTTACCTCAAGTGCAGGACAAGTTTTAGAAAGTGTATTCTATCTCAAATTAGGATATAGATGTTAGGAAAATGTGTGGGAAAATTCCTTGAGCCCCAAACTTCTCTGTCTAATCTCTTCTTAATTGCACTGCTACAAAGGTGGGCTAGGATCATAGTCAGAAAAATTGGGAACAGTGGCCATCTCCTCATCAGATATCTTATGATCAAACTGTTTGCTTATTCAAACATCCCTGAAAACCATGCTACATATAACATTTCTGGAGCTTATATTGCATTTACACGACAGATCTTTACTCAGATAATGTTTCTTTTAAATGATCCTCATAGTTTCTTATTCATTCATAGTGACATGAGAACAACCTAAGAGGTGTTCAGTAACTTCACTAAAACAAGACCATTGAGCCAACCTGCAAAACAGCTTGCTTTTGAAGTACGTACACCTTCCACCCCCATACAGGTCTTGGAGTTGCTCTCATCAACCCCATTATTTTGATCCAGTCTTTCCTGTGGTCAGAGACTCTTGTATGATTTAAGAGAACAGAGATAGGGCCTCACAAGTGGCAGCATTTGGACTTGAATTTGTAGCCTCACTACTACTACCTGTAATACCAACTGAAAAAATTTTGTAGCTGTTGCATTTTTTTTTCTAAACTAATCTTGTTAGTTCTGTAGACAGAACGATTTTAGTATTATTTGATTGAAGTTTTTTATTTTTTTATTTTTTTGAGTTGGAGTCTCACTCTGTCACCCAGACTAGAGTGCAGTGGCCACTCCCGGCCACCACAGCCTCGACCTGCTGGGCTGTGGCAATCCTTCCGCCTCAGCCTTCCAAGTAGCTGGAACTAC